CTATCCTTCCATCATCTCTCCATCTGACACGCTTTTCCCTCTCGCAGTCAATGACATCATTGGCCTCACCTGGCAGCCACAAAATCCCAGCCACAGCAGCTAGCGAGGAGGACTTCTCTTCGAACGGAAGAGCAATATGCAGAACCAGTTGCAGTATGATGGAGGGCACTGCGAAACACTTTACGCGATGCGATGCAAGGCCATGATCTTGACATGACTTGACTCCAACCTTGACGGCACGGCATCTGCACGGTCCTGGCACGGTAGACATGCTTCTCACAGTACACTACATGAACCATGCAGTTCTGTGGCAACCGAAAATGTATTCCTCAATACCAATCCCCCACCAGAAATGTCCGTTGACCAGCAATTAATGTCCATTACTACATTACCCTTCAGTAGTCAACAGAATACAGCAAAGGAAAAGCAATGGATGTCTGGATTTCCATTCACAGCATTTCACTCTACAGTTCTCTAAAGTCAACTGTCCTCGGTGACAGTAGAGCGGGCTGTCAGATATGACCTCAGCGGGAGAGTCTAAGCTCCGTCGACGTCCTCCCTACTTGGGTGCTGAAGACACGCTGTCGATTGGCTTGAGCTGCGCTGCGAAGCCGTTGCTCGAAATGATTTGAGGTGGATGCGGGTTGGTAGATGTTACAAGTGGCGGGCAGCCAAGTGCCAGTGCATGCAAGCTTTGGAAACCCAAAACATCCAAGTAAGACATGGCCTGACCGACACCTCTACAGAAGAACGTCGAACTGAAGACACGGCAAGTTCAAAGAGACACCGAGGCAAACTGCCAGGTGTCTAAAAGATACATCTCTGCCCACAAAAGACCTCTCTGTCCAAATCCAGATTTTGGAAAAGGTTCAGCCTTTGTCTGCGCATGTCTGCGCTGTAGAAGCGCTTCACATCCGTCCTTGTTTGGCACGTCCCCCCCCAAGTCGCCGGCATCTCCGTGCGCACCGTTTCGTCTCCTGCGCACCGCAACTCACGGCCGTGGATCGAAAAGCATCGGTTTCTAGCATCAAGCACCTACAGTTTTACGAAGCTATCGTGTGATTGGCTGTGTTGTCGAAACTTCACCACTTCCAACATGTTGCAATTTCAAGGCCTTCGCTATTGGAGGCATTTGTTTCAAGGCATGATTCACCAGCGCAAGCTCGGATGGGGCCACGCATGAAAAGAGAGAATGATTCGTACTTTACCTCTCAGTCAGGCAAGCGACGCGGAACCGAGCAGGCCAAAATCCGCCTTCTTCATTTCAAAAGCATAGCATGGTAAGGATATCTGTGGACTCGTTCCTGATTGGTTCCAGACATTTCCAAACCTTCGCCCACTGGTCCAGATCCAACACGTGCGGCCCAATTCTTCCAACTAGTAGCGTCCTTGCTCCTAGTAGCGATGCCCTGTGCTCCTAGTAGCTTTGTTGTTACGAGTAGCGATGCCCTTCGTTACGTTCGTAGCGTTCTTGTTACGTTCGTAAGGCCAGCCCCTAGTAGCGTCCGATCGCTCCGTTCGCAGCGCTTCTGAACTTCAGCGGGGAAGCGAAGCACGTGGAGCATCCGCGGAGCATCCGCCTGCTGAGAGGTTGGGCCTCACCACCGGGCCTGCAGCCTTCGGCACCTCCAAACGCTCCTTGGTCAGGAAAGGGCTCGAGACCCTTTTGACCTTTTTAGGGATGTCAGGTGGGGAGGGCAAGCCTAGGGCACTAGGGATGTGTTCGGCACGATTCCAAACTCGTGGCGCTTTCAGGTTCCGCGACTGCCGTTTTGAGCACGGTGCCAAACCGATCCTCTTCGTTCACTGGGTGCCGGTGCCACATGCCGCAAGGGCAGCGTGAGGGATCCAAGGAGCTCCCCCAGGTTCTCGCCAAAGGACTGAAGAGGAGCGAGCTCAGGCCGGCAGGGTAGGCTGGAATTCGCAACCGGTAAGTGGCCTAAGCGGCCTAAGCCCGTAGGAAGCTACTACCCAGGACGCATCGAAAGCGGAGGCTTCAAGGAAGGGGTAGTTACCCTTGAAGAGCCCTCACACTATTCATTTGGTTCCTAGATGCCTGGGGGCACTTCACCTGTAGAGCTTGAATGAAGTTTTGGAATGTGGGTGTCATGAGGTCTTTGTACAAACAGGAGGCGACGGGAAAAGCTCGAATCGTCACCTGTGTTGCTCAGTGTCGAAACATGGAATTCCAAGGCCTCGATCAACCCACTTTTCGGGCAACTGGATAGATCGAGCCTCTTGACCTTCAACCCCAAACACCAACGGCATTTGTCGGACTCCTCGCCTGAGGCAGTGATGGCAAGTCTCGCCTTGGCCACCCGATGAGCCGGAACTGATGTAAGCAAACACAAATAGAACGCAATCCTCACTCGCAAAGGGTTGATCCAAACAAGAAGCAATCTCAATATTATCTCCATCAATCTTGCCTCACACGTTCGGATAGTGCAGCTGACAAAAGAGAAGGTTCATTTAAAGAAAGAAAAAAAGAAAGAAAGACTTGTGTCCTCTTTGTCTGTCCAGTAGCTTACAGTAAGGATGGCACCCATCTGCATGGCTGCTGACTTCTCCTTCGGAGGACTCATCAGGCAGTCCCAGCCTGAGAAACCGGCAAAGTGGTGCCACGAAGACCCTGAGACTTTTGAGGTCACGGCACACGGAAGGCAGACATACATTCAGAGAGGATCCCATGTCTGAGCCTGCCACTAAGAGAAAGAAACAGGGGCAACATGGAGTAACTGCGTGTCTATAGTCTATACTTGCCTCTGTGTGTCCTTGATACTTGGTGTCCTCGTGCATGCAGGACAAAATCATTCACTCAAATCTAGTGTTCAAGGATTCCATGATATCTGCCAGTTTGACGCTATAAAAACATTGTATACATGCTTCCCTGAATAACAAATGCGCGCTCGTGATTCAGACTGCTGCAAAGCCTTAAACATCAAAGACCCAAAGAGGATCACCCACACCTTCCAACCGAGCCCTGCCTGCTGTTGGGGTCGCAAGTTGTCTTCTTCTGAAAAATTATCCCGTCAAGAGACCCCAAACAGTGTGTGAGAGGTCTGTAAGCAGAAAGTGTAGAGATCTAGACGCATTGGGGTCCAGAGAGGTGACGGTGGTGATGAAGTGAAGGTGCGTGCGAGTGAGTGTGGGTAAGAGGGAGTGTGAGTGTGAGTGAGAGTGGGAGAGTGAGTGTGAGCGCGAGTGTGAGTGAGTGTGGGTGAGAGTGAGTGTGAGTGAGAGCGCGAGAGTGAGTGAGTGTGAGTGCGAGCGTGAGTGAGAGTGAGTGTGGGTGAGTGAGTGCGCGCGTGAGTGTGAGAGTGTGAGTGAGTGAGTGAGTGAGTGAGTGAGTGAGTGAGTGAGTGAGTGAGTGAGTGAGTGAGTGAGTGAGTGAGTGAGTGGGTGAGTGAGTGAGTGAGTGAGTGAGTGAGTGAGTGAGTGAGAGCGCGAGCGCGGGTGAGAGTGGGAGAGTGAGTGCGAGCGCAAGTGTGAGTGGGTGTGAGGGAGTGTGAGTGTGAGTGTGAGTGAAAGTGGGAGAGTGAGAGAGTGTACCTGCCACGAAATCTACAGTTCGAGGTTCACCAAGTGCTGTGCCTGCTATGAAATACTTCGAAGTTCACAAAGTGCTGTGCCTGCTACGACATCTGCACAACGAGGTTCACCAAGTGCTGTGCCTGCCACGAAATCTGCACATCGAGGTTTACCAAGTGCTGCGCCTGCCACGAAATCTACACTTCGAGGTTCACCAAGCGCTGTACCTGCCACGAAATCTGCAGTTCGAGGTTCACCAAGTGCTGTGCCTGCTATGAAATCTGCACTTCGAGGTTCACAAAGTGCTGTGCCTGCTACGAAATCTGCACATCGAGGTTCACCAAGTGCTGTGCCTGCCACGAAATCTACACTTCGAGGTTCACCAAGTGCTGTACCTGCCACGAAATCTCCACTTCGAGGTTCACCAAGTGCTGTGCCTGCCACGAAATCTGCACTTCGAGGTTCACCAAGTGCTGTGCCTGCCACTACATCTGCACATCGAGGGTCACAGACTGCTGCGCCTGTCACGAAATCTGCACATGGAGGGTCACAGAGTGCTGCGCCTGCCACGAAATCTGCACACGAGCCACATACTGTATCCAAAAGTCACGGTTCACTGCACCTGTCACGAAATCTGAGCTCCTCGACCATCACCACCATGTCCAAAGTGCTGCGCCTGCCACGAAAACTGCATTTCGAAGTAAGACAGCTCCGATCCCTTGCACCTGTCACGAAAAGTCGGCTTTGGAGCGCCAAAACATGAGGTTTCCCTTGCAGGTCGAAAAGTGACCACCATGTACCAAAATGCGCACGGCACCACAACGAGAGCGCAGTCGCTGGAAGCACCCGCCGCCGGCCCCCAGATTATATATATTTATATTATATATTAGATATTAGATATTAGATATTATATTATACATATATACATATATCGTACTTGCACCCCGTGTCACCTTGTCTCCGGCCGTCTGTTGTGCCCAACGAAAAGCTCTGCCCGACCCTCCGCCCGTCGCGGCCCCTGCCTGAGATCAAACTCAACGGACTGTCGCGGGTCAGCCCAGCTGCTTTCCCCTGTTGTGGCATTGAAGTAGAACCTCAAGTCGTGTGAGCAGTAGACACCTGCTCAGTGTTCCATGGAAAGGACTGGAACTTCGATTCAAATCGATCCCCTCCTTTGCCCCCAACAAGACAAACCTTGCTGGGCTCAAGAACTGAGAGCTCTCCGCAAACTCAGGCGCTTCCTCTGGTCCCTGCAGCCGAACTGCATTTGACAATGTCCGAAGAAAATGTTCCTCCATAGGACCCTAGCAGGCTTGAGGTGAAGCAAGGCTAAAAACGTGGGGGTTGTTCGCTCTAATCCTGTCAACTGTTTCGGGTTGCTGCTCTGTGAGGCACAATGTTGTGAAACCTTGAGTCAAAGTTCCAAGACGCATACTAACTGTTTAACTCATCTGCTGAAAAGCACCTTTTTTGCCCATTGCCAATATTCCATCACCCCAGCTGGACACAAGGCCGCTTCTGGGCTTCCAGCTGAGCCACTGGTTGGTGGCACGAGCTATTCAAATATCATAGTATTCAATATCATAAGCTCTCGTAAAATGTTCCTCGTCAACAAGGAGAGCCGCAGACATGGTGGCAGTTAAAGTACCCACATCGGCGCCGGAGCCGGCAGGACAAAACGGGACAACCACGGCCCGGCTCGTCATCTTCATCCACTGCTTCAGCTCCATCGTCAGGCTTTTGTAGCATCGGGTCAGCAGCCTCCTTCCCGTGGTGCTGCAGCAGCACGCACTCCTCGCTCTCAGAATAAGGACAAGCAAATGGTGAAAGGCTCAACCTTGGTGCACTTCGAGCAATCCTGTGGCAAAAGCTGCATGCACACGCAGAGGCAAGCGTGGCTGTAGCATATCATATATAATTCATAAATACTACTGTACCTGTAATCATGTCTGGGTTTCACGCTGCCAATGGAGCGCCACAAAGCAGCAACAGAAGAACCTTGGGATGTCAGAATACGCCTGAGCTTTTGTGAATCTTTAATCGTTTGTGTGCATTCAAGACACTGAGCACAGCTTGATTGTGAGCCAAGCGTGATGATAAAGCTGTTTGTGTGTACAATTTGGGCCAAGCACTGCAGATCACCCAGCAAACATAGGAACAGTTCAAACACATCGTCTGCTTGCAAGTTCCATCCCCACACATCTTGGCTGTTGTGGTGTTTATGTTTCCTCTTCTGAGAGATCCAGGGGAGGTCTCCCTGTTCCAATACACACCCAGGACACCCAGATTTGGGTTAAGATCTTGATTGGGTGGTTCTTGGAGGACCGCGCAACTTTAGCTCAATCTCTTCGTGTCTTGTCGCGCTTCCAATAGCTTCAGAGTCACACCGTGCAGCCCCACCACTCACGACTCACCACTCACACGGCTTTTTGCATGTCTTCTGCTTCTGGCGTCATCGTGGAGCGACTTGGTAGCCGAGCTGCTTGGATATGGAAACTTGCACTGTGGAAGGCTGCGTGGCGCCCGCTTGCCTCGATGGACAGCATAACCCTCCATGGACGCCTCCTATCTGCAACTGAAATCGAGGTTGGCGTTCCAATAGCAGTCCTTTTTCAACCCTTTTGTTGAACATGCAAACCTTCATGGCACGCGTTATGTGTATCATTCTGTATCGAGATAGGTCCACCCCAGCTTCCTCACATCTGCGTTGGAAAAAATGTGTATATACATATATATATATATACAGCATCGTCAACTCCTTGAATTCCAATGTTGATGGTAAATGTCTGCTATTATATTCCTCCAGCTGTTTGGGAACAGCATGTAAACAATAATTCCTGATTCCCGAATCACATGTGCAAATGCGAAGGGTTATACTACATGAGAAAATCCGAGGATGATATCAAATTTGAAACGCTGGCACCACTGTTCGTTCATAGCCACATGAAAACATACCCGGACAAGCCGGTAGAGAAAGGGAAACTCGCATGGTGATAAAAGGGCCGACAACGTGGACAAGCAGACCCGGACACAGCCTGAAAAGGCTCACGGAACTGCAGCAGCTCAGCGGACAAGGCCTGGACAAGGCCCGGGCCCGGGAAAGGCAGGTGGACAACAGGTCACCAGCGATGCCAGAGGAAAGGAGGAAACCAGGAGGAAAAGAGAAGGACAACAGGAGGACAGCACCCGGACAAAGGGTTCACGGGCGCGGGCAGAGCATGTGGCCAGTGTCCTTTTTATGAAGAGAGAACCCCAAGACCGGCCTGACCAAGTGAACTGTTTGGAGAAAAAGAACAGCCCCGCCTGACCTTGCCCAAGGCACAGCTGGATTTCATCGTCGCGACTCCACACAGCTGATGCCCAGATCACGAGCCTGACTCACGGTCCGCACTGGGGCCGAGGCCCTTGGCATCTCTTCGAAGAAACGCACTGCTGAAAGGTGTCATCTACAGTTGCGGGATCCTCATCGAGAATGCTTTTCTTTCGGTCTCCTAAATGCAACTAGCGTGCTGTTGATAGTTTTCTTTAGGACTCTTAGGAGCTCTGCGGTATCGCAACCAAGGAACAATCTGCGCTGCTCGACCACGCCCAACTGCACGGCCCAAAGCAGTCAGTACCTGGGAAATGGTGGAAAGCAGTCAGTACTGCACGGCCGCTCGAAGCTTTGTCAAATCAACACAGATTTGAGCAGGAAGGTATGAACAACTGTAGTCTTTGAGAAGTGTAGTTGTGCAGCATGCATACTGTGGATATGCAGCACAAGACATAATGTGACAACAGCAGATGGATTTTGTATCAAGACTCTCCAGGCGCTTTGCCTAAAATAACATCCACTTCATTTGGTATGATGTTGTAAACAATTCAATACATGCTACAGTTCAAAAAAACTAGGCGACAAATGATTAGTGCGAGCGCTTCTTCAAGGAAGCTTCCCCCCCCGCCGCCGCCTTTAGGGCAGCAGGGGGAGCCTCCTTGACGTTGCGTGAGCTATTCTGCGTCCTAAGTAGTAGCTACTTAAGCAGTAGCTACTTAAACTACTAGATACCTAGCTTCTATCTGCTAGCTACCTACCTAGCTGACCTACCTCACCTCTACACGGCGGGCCAAAAAAAGGAAAAGAAAAAAGTCTCTGTTTGACCTGGCTCGTGTACGTCTCCAAGGTCAAAGTCACATGTTTGTTGGCCTCAATGCCCTTGGCATAGGCCTTGCGGAAGGCGGCCTCTGCCCGTTCTGACTGGCGGGGCTTGGCACTGGCATAGGCCAAGAGCAAAGCATAGAGGAAGTACTCGTTCCTGGGAACACAAGTGCGAAGGGGTCCGTTGGTTCGTCATTCTCCCTATTTTGAATAGACACCCATGTAGGCCTGCCGGGCGTAGACGGCCGGGTCATTTCGAGCACGTTTCGCGCCAATTCCGTGTGGTATTTACAGCACTATGTATGTGTCCGCAGGGCCGCTGGGGAGAGCGTCGAAATAGTCATAAGCATTTTCTATGGTATTTCTAAAGGGTTTTTAGAGCAATGATGTAGAAAGTTTTTGTTGGCTACCGATGTCACAACATTGTCATCGATTAGTTGTGTGATCAAAATGGGGTGGGGTGGGGGGGGTTGGGGTAAATCGACCTCACAACATGATCATCGACATCACAACATTGTCACAGCGCATGCGACCATGAGTAACCAAAGTAGTTGTTTTACAAACAAGTGGTAAAAAAATTATGCTAATCAGCTAATCCCAAGGTAATTTCAATAAAGCAACATTTTCAACACACAAAAAAAGGTTCCGAAACCACCCGGCCATCAGACCATGTAGTGAGTCCAACATCTATGCTGTTTGACACAGGGTGAACTTGATTCTTTTTGGATATATTTACAGTATATATGTCATCCTGACTAAGGAGTAGACTGTGAGGGTTGTGATAGATGGACAAATCTTTGGCTAACTTAGCTGTTGGACTATGCTTCGGGAGAGGTAAAGCAAAGTCTGCCAAACTACTTACTCTTTCACTACATAAACTAACCTGTTTTTGCTTCGGCGTGGAAGTGTCTGATCATTTTGGCATATTAGAGAGGATGTAGAAATAGTGTCCAAAAGGACAAAGCACCTGTGGTAGCATTTGTATCATCTCGCTAGTCCTTGTTTCGACCAGCAAATCTGTTCATCCAGAATGTGTTATCACAATAACGAAAGGCCCAGCAACAACAAAAAACAAGCAATCCCAGAGCGAGTGGGCCTCCCAAAACCCACCTGTGCCCCCTATGTCGTATGGGAATCTGGAAAAGGAATTGCTGCAAAACGAGGACACCCAACGAAGGAACTACCCTGAACAAGTCCATGATTCATCACAAGACCTGCTTGCTGCATATCGGTGGCAAAGCTTTCCACCTCCGAGCAACATCACCAGCACATCAAGTGTTCTCGCATCAAACATCTGTACAATACAACTCTACTGAAGAGTCCGCCGTTGAATCAGTATCTCTAATGCTGCTTTGGGGGCGAGCTATTTAACCAAAATGATTCGTGACTCGGCGCTCAAGAAACCCCCACGGTATCCCAACATAAGTGCAAGAATTTGTACGTCTTTTTGTGAAGTGGTCACATATCGGACACTGGGCACGCATCCATACCTGGTTTCTTTATCACCAGCCTCTTGCCACTCACCCCGATGAGCAAAGGGCCGTGCCAGCGATGCATACGCCACGACGTTGGGCTGCACACCAGCTGCCTTCATCCTGAAGACACCAAGAGCAAACCATGGAGTTTGCAAGAAGGCACTTGGTCCATGTTGTGAAACTGGTGAATATCTGGCCAGAATTGTGAGGTTGCGTATGTGAGTAAAGCTGACGGTTGATGTTCCTGGATCCATCGAGCAAACACGACCAAGAGGCCTCGCAAAGACTTCCTTGGCGTGTTCCAGGTCACCAGCTTTTGCACATGCATCCAATAGGCCGCTGTAGACCACGACATCAGCAACCACTCCTACCAAGTGTTGTGCAAATCTTGCAAACATTAGATTGGCCGAGTCCAAACAAGGTTGAAAAATGTTGAAAAAGTTTATCTATGCAACTAGAACCGTGGCCTCCTTTCAAAACTCTTGCAACAAATCAAGAAATCATGAGTTGTACATCGGTTCAAACCAAAAAGTTGTCATGTCGGGACTCTCCTGCTTCCTCCATTCGATCAAACTCCTCGTAGGCTGCTGTCAGGTTTCCACTTTTGGCGCAGGCATTGATCACTGCACTGAAGCTGTGGGCATTCGGCTGCACTCCAGCATTTCTCATTCGCTGATGCCAGCGTTGTGCGCGAATCGCATCCCCTGCTTTGGCGCAGGCATCGATCATGGCGGAGTAGCTCACCACGTTGGGCTCTACTTTGGCTTCCTCCGAACATAGTCAACAATTGTTCAGTCGCGAACGTGCATCTTGGAACCTCTGCTTTCGAACATGTTCGAATTCATTCTCTTCTCCCCTTCTCGGAACTGCCCGAAACACAAACCTGTGACGCTCGTCCACGAAAAGTCGACAAAACGCGAAAGGAGCATCCACTCCTTGAAAATCCTTGAAGCACTTGAGTGTGAATCAAGCCGCAAAGGGAGATGATATATGCATGATGTATAAACGTGTGTATGTGCGTATATATCTATATATGTGGATTGCTGCATATGTATTGAAGCGCCGGCACACGACGGCAGCAAACCAAATGGCGGCCTTTTCCGGACCAAAAGCGAAAGCCGAAGTATAGGGTCTAGATCTGGGGCCCCGACGGCAGCGGGAGAACAAAGGGTTAAAGGTCATCCCAATCCGATGCACGGTTCGACAGTGGATACTTCTTTTGATTGAGGATGGGGCTCTTTCAAGAATACCGTGCACAGGATCGCTGCCGTTGTTCCTAGGGCCCACTCAGAAGCGCCTGACTTCATGTCGAAGGCTCCAAAAGTGCTCCGAAGTGGAAAATATGTTACATCAACCCTGGGCTTGGGCGAACGAAATGGACGAGCACTGCGAGCAACCTGAACAATCAAATCATCTTCAAAACGCCAACCGGGTTTGTCTCCCAGCTGATGGGGATATGGAAGACAGGGTGGCTCTCACGCATCGGCTCGCCAGGCAACTCATGGCGTGGCTCATTCTTCCTCTTCTCGCCCTTGCGTTGAACTTCACGGACCATCGTCCTCGATTCAAGATGGTCCTCAAGTGGTGCACGTCCATGACTTTTGTCCCTCCGTTGGCAATCATATGTTCTTCAAAGCAGTGCCAGGTCGGTGCAGTGTGACGTCCACGCTGCAAAAGCCAAGCTGTTCTCGCTGCCATGGTGGAATCTGAAGAGCACTTGTCAAACAAGTCCTTCGCGTCCACAACGGCAGGGGACCACGTCCATCACACTCTCCACATACCGATTCTCCATCGGCACGCCCTTGAAGGAAGCAACAACGCCCCTCACAAGCTGCCCACTATCAAAGGCCTCCTCGGCCCCCAAGAGCTCCGCGCCGTAGGGCTGCGGCATACTCTGCAGACGGTGACTTCTCTTTTGCGCTTGTTCCAGGCATGGGATATCAGCAAGACTTGCCCCAACCCTTGGTGTAACTTCCAGGGGTCGTTCACGGATCCAAGACTGCTTGCTGGCCAGAAATGTGGTTTCGTGGGCCTCCAGGAGTTCTTGATAGACGCTCTCCCTGGAAAGAGCCGCGTCTTGTTGAACTTATTTTAGGGCCTGTGGAGTCAGCTCCTCGAAGTTGCTGACCATGTTGGCATCGGAGTTGCCATCCAAGTTGAACTGCTGAGGCATCAGGCCTTCTGTCTGCCAGGCGTTCACGCCCCCGCTTGAGGATTGCAAGTTTGCGAGAGCTGTGCCCACTTCCTTCAACATCTGCTCCAGCGCGGCCATTTGACGATCCGCCGCAAGTTGCAAGCAGTGGCCCCGCACTGGCCATCCACACATCGTGAGGGCGGCTGGCGGAGCCTTGTAGGTGGCAGGACGAACTGGCGAGGGCGGAACCGATGGCTGAACTGGTCCGAACTGGTGTCGTTGACGAAGATGTCAAAAAAGGTCGACTATGGGCTTCACCTTCTCCTTGATCTGCGGCGCACTCATTTTGTCCTCCAATGGACGTGAAGCAACGCGGCCAGCTTGACTATGGATCTGAACGGAGTGTGGGCAATCCTCCTCGTGGACCGATCGGGGCACGAGCTTCTTGTTCCACAGTTCCATCCTTCATAGCCGCTTGAGCTTGTTGTCGAGCCTCCGCAATCGCCTGACTCTTGACACGGGCCGTCAGGCCCTTCGCAGCTTTCCGTGCCAGCATGCCATTCAACACGGGGTCCTCCAAGAAGCATAGCGGCATAGCAATGTCCCATCCTGCCTCAGCCAAACATGCAGTCTGCCATCGCTCCGAAATGCTGGCAGAACGCCTGATTCTTCATCGTCTTGGCTTGTGGCCTCCATTTTTTGATAGTGCTGGATGGGTCCGGAGGTGGCACGTACCGCATTGATGGCCGACGCACAAGCCACAACAAGACAACACACAAGTCCCAATGAAGCCGAGCACCGGGGGCTTCGACCACACGGCACCGTCCTTGAAGTGCCTGATCCGATCGGCTGTCCACTCGGCCCTGGTTGCGACCGTCGTTATATCCCGCGCGCATGGGATGAAGTGCCAGGGCCAGAGGTATTCGAGCTCGTCGTAGCGTCGTTGTAGAGGATATCGTCGATGAAGTGTCAGGCTTGAGCCAAAGCGCTGCCCCGACGAAGCCCAGCCAAACCTTGCACAGCATGGCGTGCCTTCACGCTAGCTTCAGTGAGGTGGTGCTCATGGCTCATGGACCTGCATGCATTGTTTGAAGCAAGCTTGACACGCAACCACTGCTGAGCACTGAGCTGAAGTTCAACAACACCATCGACTCCCAGCTTCCTAGAGGTGGTAGGTGAAGAGGGCCAAATGCAAAAGGAGAACCCAGCCCAAGCAGAGCACGCAGCGGCAGCGCAGGGCAAGACCAGGAACCTAGGCTCCGGTGCCACTATTGAAGCTCCAGCGCACGACGGCAGCAAACCAAAGTCATCCCAATCCGATGCACGCCCCAACAGTATGCATGTGTATATATATATATAGAAGTTGTTGTGTATGAATCTATGTATGTTGTCCCATCCGCGGACCTCGTCCAACCGGTGTCAGCCTTCGTTTCGTCCAATCCAGGGCCTTCATCTTTTCCATCCACAGCTCAGCTCGTTCCACATCGCCCGACTTCGCCTGGAGACTATTATAGGTCTTGTTACTAGTAGCAAGAACGCTCCTAGTAGCATTGCCCTTGTTACTCGTAGCTTCTTGTTCCTAGTAGTAAGGCCAGGAGTTAGCGTCATTGCTCCTAGTAGCGGTACCCTTTGTTCCTAGCATCGCCCGACTTTGCCTGGGGAAATCCATGACACGTGGAGACACGGCGAGACACGTCCAGACTTTCACACCGGCTCTGTGACAGCGCCATGACATGGCTATACCATGTGTGCTGCAGTCAAAACGTGATAATCATTCTGGTATCGCTTTTCAAGGTTCCCTATCGGCCCTATCGTTCCGCACAGTCCCGATCAAAAACAATGTTTTGGCCCTTGCTCATGTGATTTTGGAGTGTTCTCTTTGGGCAATTGAGGCAAGCAAATCAGTGCAAAAGCTAAGGGTGACAAGGCAAACGGGAGCTTCATCCACTCAAGAACTCCACAAGCTCCAAGTCCCCGTCCCATCATTCACTGGAACGATAATTCTTATAACTTACCAAAGCCCCCACGCGATTCAACTCAATCTCAGATCACCCCCCTCCAGCATTCCCATATTCATATTCCCATGTTTACCGCACGGCCAAGGGACGCATGCGTCCACCACCGCCGTGTAAGTGGTGACCCTCGGCGAGAGTCCCCGTTCCTCCGCCTCGCGGAGCCACTTCTCGGCCGAGGCCGCGTCGCCTGGGGCGGCGGCGTTTCCGTCGTCGTTTCATGTGGACAGGGATAACGGGTAGCGTCCTTGTTCTTAGTAGCCGCTAGTAGCCCATTGGACGAAAGGGACTTCTCTTGTTTCATTTTCTGCAAGATCTACCCAATCTGCTTGTTTCAGCCCCTGCCTTTCCGTCCACAAGCATAGATCAGCGAATTGTAGCTGACCTTAAGCACTCGACACATGATGTATCGGCGGCATGCTTGGAATGAAAACTGGCAAGCAGGTGACCGAAACTGGCTTGTTGCCTTGTCTTGCCACACCATATTCCTCGCCTTCGGCAAGCTTGCCCTGAGAAACGGGTGACCTGCTTTTGGCACGTATTTTGCTCCACGTGTCCTGAGCTTACTTACATTGCAGGGACTTGTTGGCCAAGTAGCGATGTTGGGTTCCACCCCAGCTTCAAGCATCTTCGCTAGCCAGTGCTCAGCACGTTCAGTCTCACCGCGCTTGGCACGCGCGTGGATGACAGTGGCATAGCTAACCTCGCTCAACAAGCTGCAAGCAGAAACCAAAGCAAACAATCATCGGCCACACTGAGTAAATGAGTTCTGCCGCAGGTCTATGGACCAACCTGTGGACCGACCTCAAAACGCCAGAGCCCGCCTCATTCGCGGGAATTCCATCTTTAATCATCTCTGAAAGCCAATGCTCAGCATCTTCAGCATCGTCTGCCTTGGCAGATGCCTTGGTCTTCGGCTCGGTTCCCTTCCATCGAGGCCAAGCCTTGGCCCCGTGTTTTTCTCTATTTATCTTTTTGCTTGCTTAGGTAAGCGCTGAAGAAGGAAATTCCCATGAGTATCTTGGAATGGGATGCATCTGGTGATCTTGAAGTGCCACCTTTTCAGGCAAAACTCGGCGAGATACGTCCATCAGGATGTTGTAGCTGATGGTGTTGGGCTCAACACCAGCGGAACCTGAACCACATACGAACAAACAGGACACGCAAACTCGATTGGTGTCTCGAGCTTTTCCTCCACTCCCAGTTGCTCCAGAATGTTTGGCGAGTTGCGCATGTGACGCAACCACCGTCGAGCACCAAGCATATCACCAGTCTTGGCACAAGCATGGATGACCTAATCACAGCATTTAAAAAACTCCAAGTCACTATGTAAGAAATGCTCAAGTGGTGCAGGCTAAGATCGACTTTGTCACTTGTCCAACACCGAAGCCAAATCAGCCAATGAATGCGAAACCCTATAAAGCCTGATAATGCAGCGATAACACTCAAGCCTGAGTCTCACTCTTGATCATGCATCAAACATGGTCGTAGAGTGTCTTTCTCCCCAAACACTGGAGAAATAGGACTCATGACATCTTACTCACTCAAAATCAACAGGAAAGCACAGCTATGAACGCACCTAACAAATCCTGAGACATTACCTGCAAGAAAACTGTGGCTTCCCACTTACTATTTCTTGACCCATAGAGAAAAAGAAACCACCACGCAAGTGCCTCAAGTGCTTCTGGTTAGTCTGAGCTACAGAGTTGAAGGGCATGGTGTCCAGACCCCCAAGGTGCTTGGCTTTCATCATTTCATGCAACAAACGTTCCGCCCGATGCCGTTCTCCCGCACGGACCGCGGCGGCGACGGCTTGAGACATGCTCCTGGCCTGAGACTTTGCTTTTAGGACATGAGTCTGAAAGAGGAAACAAGTTGAAAAAGTATGACACATGTCACATGTGCATTATACTTCGACTCGGATACTTTGACTTTTATATAAGTACAGTCACCGATCCTAACCCTCTTATCAGCATCTCAAAATCTGTGTTTAAGGACTCTGCGGGTTTCTCTTTTGGGACTGTTCCTAGGATGAAGCGCACCGCAACTGAGGTCCCAACAGTGCCACCAGCCTCCTTCCCCTCTGGTGAATCAGGGGTTTCAGTGGAGTCAGATTGGCAGGACACCTCACAACAAAGCACAGAGATGTCATGGCATCAGATTCAGTCACAAAAGCCAGGCACAACTGAAAGCGCTTAAACATGCAATCTCTCATGACATAAGAGATCATGGCGTTGCACCATGTCACACCAGTAACGTCATCAAGTGTCCATCAGCAAAGTCGCACATAATCTGTGCCTGTTTGTCCAATTTCGAAGCCTTCGGCGGGTGACCCTCGCCTCAGAATACGAATTAACAACGAGATTGCACGGGATGAAAGCAATATATAAATAAACGAAAAGAACATGGATGAGGACTCCGCACCAAGTTGCACAAGAATAATAGAAAACACAAAACTGAGTGCTTTCTTTCAATCTCTTTGCCGCCATGCATCCAGGAATCAGCTTCCGATTCTTCGGACTGTCTTTCACATTCTGCTTGAAGGCTGCCTGGACCGAAATTTTCGGCTTCTGATTGATAAACTAAGTAGTTTTGGTAGTCCTTGAAATGAGACTCGAATTGGCCTCCTTCAGCTATGTCTCCTTCTCTGAGACAGTCAGACAACAACAGGCCTTGGACATGTGCATGAAAGCAGCTGGCAGCAACCTTGGCGATTTCGCTGCAATGGAGGCTTGGGACTTCCGTGAGCATCTACTCGCTCCAAACGACTGAAGTGATACCAATTCGGACTGAGCTGTTCCGGCTCAAGGAGTTTGTAGTGAGGTGTCTCAAGGTCTTGAGGTGATGGCATACAAACTAGCACGGTTGCGGTCTCAATGAGAAAGGAACGGCCACCTGCCGGGATTGCCTGCCAGCAACAAACTGTCTAAATGCCATCGACAAAAGTCATATAACGCAGGCTATTCGCCCAACCTTTCAGGCATCTGTGGGATTTGTGACTTGCAAGTCAATATTAGCCCACCTTCTCCCCTCCCATCTCCGCGAGAAAGTAGTCAGCCACACAAACCAGGATGGTAACCCCAGCAAGGAAGCTAGTCACCTTGCAAATGGCTTTTGAGACCAGCGCCAGTCAAGTAGTAAAGAAAGATCATGTCACGTGCCAGTCAAGCAGTAATGAAATGGTTCAAAATAGACAATCAAAGCAACCCCCGATCTTGAATCAAGCCAAGGTGCTCGCAGCTTGTCAGCTGTTGTCTTTGTGGCAAAAGGTTTCTTGGAGATCATAGCCGTCGTCTTCATCGGCCGAATTTCTTGGAGGCTTCTTTCGTAGAAAGGGTACGGATGGTAGAACTTATCGGTGCCAGGTCATGCCGGCATGGACCGAAAAGGCTGCGGACATGTTGAAGGCTGAAAGAAAGCTGCAAATCTCCACAGCTGCAAATGCTGCGAGCATCGCTGCAAAGGCAGCCTTCAAAAAGAACTTAGAATCGCGGACATCGCTGCAATCGACCCTGTTGATGCTGCCTGCGGAGCATCGAAGGCACTCCATTGTGCAAGGGCCTGAGATCGAGAAGACTCGACACGTGGAGCTAAGTGCATAACAGTAGGCATTTCTTGGATTTCTTGGAAGCAACATGTGTAAAATAGGTCTATTCTGCTCACTCATCTGCAGAATGCACAATGGGTCTTGGAAGAAGTGGTGCTGCCGCTGCCTGGACAGCGGTCCTTTGGGCTTGCCGCAAGTGGGCATCTGCTTGCACAGCAATCTCCTGTAAAGACACATGTCAGGCCACCATAGAAACTGCAGGAAACCGGGCACCTCAAGGGACGTGTCCGGTTGCCAGCTATGGACTTCTTGAAGCAGCTCCTCCCACATCTTCACACTTCAAACACAGAAGTCTTAAAAAGTCTCGGCAATCGCTGCAACTCTGATGTGCTCATGCTGCAACTCTGTGTCCCTCAAAGCGTTCCACCTCAAAGATTGACTTCTGCGGATGCATCCACAAAGACTCCCCAGTGGCTCGGTTGAAAAAGTAGACCTTGTGTTTCCAAGCGTTGCGCAAACGGTCGAAACTTCAGTCCAAAGTCAAGCAAGCCTACATGCCCAAACTCAGATGCCAGCGCGAGAGCTGCTCTCGTCAACTTGCTCAGACCATTGTGGTGGCAGTGGCGCCACAAACCTGGCGCCCCATCTCCAAACAGACCATGGGCGATCCAACACTATATCAAGCGTCATTTGCTCGAGTCTGGGTCACCCGGTCAAACTGATCCGTTGACTTGACCACCCAAAAACAATCCTTGCGTAAAAAGAACAACACGTTCATGACCCTCATGTCGTTAACAGTGCAGTACAGTACACAACTCACGACTGCAGGGTGAATCGCCAGTGTCCCCTCATGATTCGAGAGGTCCTTTCCTGTAAGAAATCATAGATCAAGCACACACATGAGTGCCAAACATATGATGCCAATGGCCTTCTTATAGTGAACAAAAAAGGCACTATGATACAGGTGGAGGCCCATCTCAATGCCCATCTTCACACAGCATGTTCGCAGCAGCCGCATGCAGCAACACTAATCGCATGCTTCAAGCTGGCGACATATGTTGAGCTGCCGCCATGGTAAGAGCACCTGACATGGCAAAGGAGTTCTTTGATGTTCTTTGCACATGTTTGCTGTTCTGTCAGGACTCGTGTCCCGTGTCTGCGACAAAATCCTTGTAGCTGCGAGGTAGCTAAGGAGGCGTCTGGCAGAGGACTGGTCTATGGCCAGGTGTTCCAAGAAGTCCTCGAAATTGCCTTGTGGGCATCTCGAACCCCTGGACAGAACAACTCTTCAAGTGCAAAGGGCGATGAATATTATCTTTTGACGTTCAGGAAGCTAGAATGCAGAACTGACAGGCATGTTATATAAATCTCCTGCTCATGTCACGCTTAGCCGAGTTTCGCGCAGTAGCGAAGAGCCTGCGGCAAAAGGGATTATTTGGCAGCCAGAAAAAATACCCAACATTCTTCATCGACCCGAGCGAGCTGAAAGAAACGCTCAAAAGCTAACTGCTGTAAACCTGCAGGAATGTTCACATGGAACTCAAATCTAGCGAGTTCTCCATGTCAATGATTCATGATTCTCCAAAGCTGTTATGGTCAAAGCTGCTAGCCAAATGAGTTTTTTGTGCTACGACTCCCCGAATCCACAAAGACTTCGCCCAATCCATCCCAAAAGTCCACACAAGCCAGGACCAATCGGACCCAGGAGCGCTACTGAGACTCCACGTCTTTGACCAATCAGCGCCTGAGAATGTGGCGCCTCCGATACAGTTGCACTGTTGGAAGACACCTCCGAAAGTTCGGCGGCTGAGCAGATTTGTTTCGTTTTTTTCGCCGGCGACCTCAAGAATCTGGCCAAACAGCGTGTGTACGTGTTGTTGGCATCCCCCCAGTGACCATTAATAATGGTCAAGCACAAAGCAGTTTGGCAGGAGTTTGGCTCAAAACCAGCACGTGAAAGGAAAAGTCATTGGCCTAAAAACATGTTCTCGCAAGCCTTACAACCGAGAAGCTTGAGGTTACTGGTTACCGCACAATCAAAAAACAAATTGTGGAACAAAGAACATCTAGTAAAGCTGATAATCCAACCATGCGGCAAACCAGCTTTCAGCCATTGAGCCAGACTTGTTGATCCAGCCAGCTCCTAAGCTCTTGACACCACTGGCTCGGCGCAACGGTACTGTGCTGGCCCTGCAATCAAGCAACACACCAAAAGCTTCAACAAATTGAAAGTCTCCCTGTCACACCCTGTTACACACCCTGCGTCACCTCTCAGTATCGCTGGAAGCCATCACCTTCGGCTGGACCGATCTCTCAAACAAGCACTCATGCTGTGTCTGATTTCATAGATCTGGAGCTGAAAAACCGGAATCCTTTCAGAGCTTCCAGAGCTACAAACAACACTCGTGGCAAAGTCACTCAGGCTCTCAGGTGCAAACCAATGTAGTCTGCCAATTTGATCTCACGAGCTACTACACAGCCTGGTGTGAATCCAGTGCTCGTTAATTAACACAAGATCTACATTAGGGGTCTGATGCCAGACCCAGAAGCCCTCACATTTGCAAGAATTCTACGTATGCGACACTTGTTGAAGGGTCTTGTCTAAGGACCACCGAAATGCAGCGATTGAGGCTCAAGCGCTTCTGGCCGCGCGCCATAGCTGTCACAAAGCTTATGGGTAGTCCCACAATCCAGCTTTGGAGCTAGCAGCTAGGCAAGCAATATCAGAATTTGGGTTTTGCTTGGGCAGTGGGTGATGACGAGTGAAGTGTGTTCACAACGGGGTCAGCACCTGTCATTTGGAGCAAAGCAACTTAGTACCATAAGTAGTGACAGAGCAAGACTCATGAGTACAGCAGCGAACTGTTGGTACCGTGTAACGAACGAGTCCCATGAGTGCCATGAGCCGAGTCCCAGGATCCCATCTATGGTAGCAGCTGGAGCCACAAGGCTAGTATCAACGCTGCAACGTCCACACAGTCCTCCCTTTGACACAACATCACACAGAAAAAGTGCCATTAGATTTGGATGCCATGATGGTTCTCAAAAAGCCCCCGCACCTGAGCCGGCAGCCACCTGACACATGAGTCTGGGCTGAGTGACGATGACTTTTCGGCTGGCAGACCAGTGATCAGGAAAGCTACCACTGCCTCCAAGACTATCCAAACTAGGAAAAAAAATATTACAACTACTAGTAACAAGAAGCTAATAGTAGCTCCCGGCATTTCGACTAGCCATAGTTAAAGCCACCTCCGCAGAACTTCTGCCAGAGCTGGCCTGGGCAAATGAACTTCTACCAGTCATTCTTTCTGGCCATAGTATGAAGCCATGTTTTCAAAAGAAGCTACTAGGGGTTCCTGGCATCGCTACTAGGAGCAAGGATGCTACTAGGGGCTCCTGGCCTTACTACTAGGAGCAAGGACGCTACTAGGAACAAAAAGCACAGGCCCAAATGCCAAATGTCTGGTGTCCCAGACCGATCTCTGCAGGCATTGCAACTCATCACTGACACCTCGCCTTGGTGAACGAGGAGTCTTTGTGGCTGGTTGTCAACATCGTGCTCTATTTTGCCCAATCATGGCTCTAAGAACTCCCACGGTGCAAAAGCTACGCTTCACTTCATTTTGGTCAACTTCAAGATTCCGGCAGCTGAAAAGGAAGGGGAGAGGGAGAGGGAGAGGGAGAGGATGGGAGAGGGAG